AATTATTCGGGCACAGACAAATTTGTGGAGCTCACTGTATCCTCCTATCCACACACTGTTGTGGAATTCACGCGCAGCGATAAACGTCCTTTGCCCCAGCGTGCTGAACTTGCCCGTGTATGACCACGAGCTTAGAAAAGATGAACTCCTCAGGTTAGGCTTAGTTGATTGATGGCAGTGAAAACCACCGTGAACTGTTGGATTTGAGGTTTTTACGCACATCACCCGACTGAGTGCCCTACATACGTGTGTGTGTGTGTCGCAAGGGGCGTAAAATTTCGGGACACAAAACAACATACGGTTAATTAATGCGTTTCGTTTTTCATTGATCAGGGCACGTACAAGAGGAAACTGGATAGAACGTTGGGCATCTTGCAATTTGGAAAAGGATCTATATTAAGTCATCAGCATCAGCGAAAAGACATAAAACCACCGTGTGGAACAAAACCATTCCTGGAGGTGGTCATCCAAGTACAACTATTCACGTCTGTGCAAAAATTTAAGTACAATGGAAACGCCCTACATATGTGTGTGTCGCAAGGGTCGTAAAATTTCGGGACACAAAACAACATACGGTTAATTAATGCGTTTCGTTTTTCATTGATCAGGGCACGTACAAGAGGAAACTGGATAGAACGTTGGGCATCTTGCAATTTGGAAAAGGATCTATATTAAGTCATCAGCATCAGCGAAAAGACATAAAACCACCGTGTGGAACAAAACCATTCCTGGAGGTGGTCATCCAAGTACAACTATTCACGTCTGTGCAAAAATTTAAGTACAATGGAAACTGTCTCATACAAGGAATGGGATACTCGGAAAAATTAACTCTCAAGCAATTGAAATCCAAAAAAGTCATTTTATCCGAACCCACAACACCCTTATGGGCGAGGGCCTTTGAGTTGCTTACTCGGAAGCTTTCATCAATGAGATATTTCCGGTTTCTTAGCAAGCGAAACCCGTCCCCTCATTGTCTAGTACCGAGGAGACATACTCTCAATTCAGTCCAACCCGTTCGTTCTTCATCTCCCGACCTTGACCAGTAGTTCACGATTTTGGAAAATGCAATACGCCTCAGTCAATCTCTGCAGTTCAGCCCTCCAGAATCTGGTCTAAAACAACCACTAAGTGGGCGATTTCACTTTGTTTTGTTCACTTTGCAAACGTCCCTAGGGGTGGGTGTTGTCAGCAGCCTAGATCATCAAACCGAATATATTGAGATCTGAACTCCGTAAGGACAGAACTCATATCCGGCCACTCCGATTGCGTTGGCCTTAGCAAAAAGGGAAAGATAAGAATTATCCGGCCACTCTTTGTCCGAAAATTAGTCAGTCTCCAACCGACTGTCTGAGTTTTTATCTTTCGTTTGACTCCTTTCATGTTGTTAAAAACTAGGTTTTTGACCGTGGCCTTTTCGACAGAGTTTAGTTTAGTTCTCCGTTACCATTCTGTTTGCGACCGAGCTTCTACAGCGGACCTCAGTACTTGTACCTACCTGACGTGATTTTTCGCAACTTTCGTAGGTGTTTACACAGTTATTGACTTGGAACAATCTGACACTGTTTTATCCGTTTGGAACCGGCCCAGATGCAAATATTTTGGTTTTTGCGGTGTAGATCCATCAGTTTATTCCACCTATCCTTTGAAAATGACTCCTCACTCAACTGAACAATGTGCAACGTCAAGTGATCCTTGACCCACGTTGTACGCTGAGCATCGTATACGAACTTTAACCGGATTTCACATCTTGGTGGTTTTTTACCTATGCGTTTCGGTTGAAAAACAGATTCAGAATGTTTACAGCACGCAAAAACTGTTTTTTATGGAGGCATTGCTTAGAGTAAATAATTACGAATCTCTTACCTGGGCTGCATCGAGAAATGTGTAAAGTCTTCGCATGGGGGTCCCTGAGTTTTGTCTGCTAAAGGCAACCTGATAGGATGTTTGACTGGGAACTTCCTGATCCCCAGTGTTCCATCGGAGATGGTCTCCTGTAGTGGACTTGACTGGCGCTGTTGCACATCTTTTCTTTCCTCCCTGAGGCACCAGAAATCAATAACGTACAATATGACTTACTTGAAGGAGACTGAATAGGTTACTTCCTAGAGTCCTTCTATTTTCGTGCTCTGAAAATACGTGCTTTTTGGTCGGTTCCTATGCAGATATGTTGCGAATAGACTGCGGCTGATACTTACCGCCAAACGCTTCAAAAACAATGGAGGCGTGGGTGGACGAGCAAGTTGGCGAAATCTCTCGTTTCTTTCTTTACGTACTGCATCAAAATCATGTCCAAAATAACCGCTTCGATACTGTTTCGAAAAAAACCCACTTCATCATGAATTCGACCGTCTTACCCACGAGCCGGTGTACTGTGACATGTCTGTTGGCCGCTGTCGTTCATCCATTTTGTATAAACGATCGATTATTGTTCATAGTTGCTGTCAAAAAACAATACGATCACATCATACGCGGATTCAGTTTTTTCCCGAGTATGGGGATAATCAGAGTGGTTGTGAAAACAATGAGTCGTCGTTATTAGTCACTCATACTGATTATAATCGTTATCACTATTGTTGTAGTCTTGAAAGGTTCTATCGGTATTATACATAAAGCGTGTAAATAAAACTAAGTGGAAAGGTGACATTTTGCTACTGTATCGCAATAGTTTGACGGATCAATTGTCTGGATGGAGCCCATAGGGCACGCAGCACAGAGTGAGGTTAACTGTTCACTCTAATTAACCCCTTCATGTACTATTTGTAGTTGTAAAATAAACCATCGGGTTTCAGCTGTTTCCGCCCATTTGTTGTAAAAAAAAGAACTTGACAAGACAATATAGATATCTGGTCACTCTGCAACAACGATAGAAAGACCAGGTTGCGAGATAGGTCGGCCTGTATTCAAGTTAGTTCACTTAAATGGCAAACAAATTTGGCAATAACTTTTAACCGGGATAGTGCACTGTCGTTTCCAATCATAGGAAAGAAAGTTTTAACCTGGTTATTTCCCAATTCCTAACAGATCATCTGGCTTAGAGAGTCAATATTCCCGGCATAGGTTAGCGCGGTTGTCAGTATAGCTGTCGAGAGTTAACTTCGGTAAACAAATGCCCCAGTAGGTAGCCGTACTTTGGGTAGAGCACTAGAGACCGCAAAAATACATGAACTACACCCCACCGTGTGAGTCAAACGACGTAGGCCCAACTGTGATCCGCCTCGCCGATGCATTTGTACATGGTGAGCCCCGAGTTGCCTGTGTTATATCATAGATAGTTGAGACAAGGTAGCCACCAACAGTTGATGTACCATTCGGTGGGCCTATACTACTATCAGTAATGGAGTATGGATTTCCATTTTGGGCTGCGCGCTTTCCCAGACAGTCGGGCCAACCAAGCAAACGGCGGGCTTCAAGGGTGTGGTCTGTTAACGTGTTCAACGGTCATCAAAAAGCAGGTTTGAAGACATTGAAAATATTTACCCTGTCTTGTCAATTTCAACACCAACTTCAACCAGACAATCGTTCCCAGGAACATGACATCGCTCAGCAATTTACGTTTGGCAGGACTGGCATTAGTAACCAGAAAATAACTTTCTGGTATCACGGTGCTCTATTGTTTTAAACCGATATACACACGTTTGACATCTTCAAACCCAAAGTTAAATTTGAATTCTTTAACGAAACTGGCGAATAACGTCGGCGGTATACTTTGAACTAATCGGGCGTTTTATTCACCCTACGGAAAGTAGCTAGACCTCACTCCGCCGCTACGTTCCGTATCACATGGAACTGCAAGGGCTTTTATAAGGTGATGTACCATCCGAGGTGTTCAGCTTACAGGGTTGAGTCCACCCATGTCCACATTATGCTGGGACGTGTACTAACAAAGTTTGGTGGACCTTCTCAGTGTGTTCAAATACCTAATCTCCGTTGAACATGTAATGTCATTTTGCGGATTCGATTGCAAGAGACAGACAGTTGGGAGTGAAGGACCTCAAGAAGTGAGAAACCGAAGACGTTCTAGTAACGACACCATGACAAAATCTGATGAACCTTCTCAGTGTGTTCAAATACCTATTCTCCGTTGCGGATTCGATTGCCAGAGACAGACAGTTGGAAGTGAAGGACCTCAAGAAGTGAAAAACCGAAGACGTTCTAGTAACGACACCATCTACTGCATCCTACGTCCCTGACTCTACTCTGAAAATATTTTGAGCATCCACGTTATAAGTGGTTATCATGTAGCTGGTGTATTTTGTGTGGAAAGCTACCATCTAATCAATCCCTAGCTCGGGAAAATTCTGTGCATTTATTATGGATGATCTTATTGTGAAACTCAATCGATCAAACAAGAATTCTATCCTTTTGCGAAAAAGTTTGATGACAATCGGTAGATTAGAAAATTCTGTGCATTTATAATGGATGACCTTATTGTGAAACTCAGTCGATCAAGCAAGACTTCTATCCTTTTTCGAAAAAGTTTGGTGACAATCGGTAGATTTATTGCTGGGCAACGTTTCGCTTTTGATACAAAAGCTTCGTCAGGCCAAGTGACTAGGTTTCGAGGTTGGTCGAGATTTAAGGCTTAAGAGTACATTTCATACATCGTTATGCTTTGGTTGGAGAAAAACCTTCTCTTATTCTTATTTCCCTTCAGTTCCGTCAGCCCTACCAAGAGTTGCATGTTTTGTTCAAATGAACAGGAAATTTCAACTTATCACCACGGCAACCCTATGACTGATGGTGCTTTCCTGTTGCATCACTCTCTAGTCTAAAATGCTTTATCTAGAGTTCTCTTTTAGCTGGCTTGAGCATAACTTAGGCTATCTACCTTACCTAACTATAGCTTATGCCGAGTGGATTTGTCCCAATCCAATCTTTTCCAGTTTTCTTGATCGGGCTGCTACCACCACATACCAAGCTGCAGAGACGTTTCCAAGCTTATGTCTATTTTGGTGGAATACTTTCTATTTTTGGCAGAGGCCGCAGTGAACAGCTCGCAGCTATCCACACCAAGCAATCGGTGTATCTGAGGAGAATCCGGGTGAAGGGATGGGAACAACTTCACCGGGGGAAATGAAAGATGTTGTTGACCTTAAGGTCAGCATTTCGATCAGGTTAAGGTAACCAACGTCGACAGGGGCACTGAAGTCCCGGAGAACGTGCTGGCCACCGTCCAATGCGACCCGTCCTGGACTTTCCATTGTTGCGATTTAGTCTTGTTAGTTCCATAGCGCACGAGTTACTGAACAGTGAATGAGAAACTGAGGTTGTTCGAATGAGCAAAGATAGAAAATCGAGGCCGCTCAAATGTCTTAAAAATTCATGAAGAAGACTGACCGTTTTGTTTACATGTGATGCGGAGGTAAAGAAATTGGCGATACAAGCGGACGTAAAAACAAGAACTTTGAACTTCTGAAGAACAGAACTAGGCCATTTTTAAATCGGGTTCATCGATTCAACTCTGAAGGCTAGGGCACCCATTTATTTTCACAAAGCAAACTACTCACAAAGTTACTGAAAACTCTTCGATAGCCCACGACCAGTTTCTCCCTTCTTTGGGCTCATCAGGTAGGCGCAGCCCCCGAGTTTCCGTCAAACTTATGTTCTGCTTGAACCCAATGATTTGCAAATCAGTCTGGTTTTCACTGTAGACCCAACCGGGTCTTGACCTACTGAAGCCTTGCCACAACGAAATCACACCAAATAGGTAGAGTGTCTAATTTTGCTGACCAACTTTGCGGCTCATGGTAAATTTTGTCTCCTGTTTCGCTGCCATGTAAATCAGCTTGCACCTACTGGACCTACTGGGTGTAAACATTATCTTGAATTACAGGATTTACTTGTAACATCACGTTTCCCGAATGACCTATTTTATCGACATGACGGAAAACTGCAAGAAAGTGGGCAGGTGGAATTTTCTGCGCACTGCTAGTTGTTGGGTCCATCTGCTTGACATAATAGGCTGGGTGTTTAGAACTTGAGACGACGTACAGACATCACGTACCGCGCTTTGCCTAAAAAATGTGGTGTCTTTAATTATTTTGAACTTCCAATTAAATTTGTAGGTCCATCTGCTTGACATAATAGGCTGCGTGTTTAGAACTTGAGACGACGTACAGGCATCACCTACCGCGCTTTGTCTAAAAATGTGGTGTCCCTAATTATTTTGAACTTCCAATTAAATTTGTTTTCTCTAATGTGAATGAAAACAGCTGTTCCACATTTTCTTTGTTATTGCCAGGTAGAGGTACGTTTCTGGAGTACATTACGTATTGTCGGCTCTTATATGTACTTAGATGTTTTTAATTAGAGGCTGATTTCCATGTATTAATGAGTTCAAAGGAGAAATGAATACTATCAAAGTGAATAAGCAAGTCTCTGAAGAAGTCAGTTCAGTAACAGTGGCACTTTAAAACTGAAGCTTTTCACCTCTTTTTCCTATTCAAATTAAAGTAGCAAGTTGTAGTGGATGCGTTAAAACGCAAAAAGCTGTCTTACTTGATGCTTTTCCTACGTAGAAACTAGTAACCGCAGGAGAAGTGACAACATTCATTGAGGTACCCTATGCATCGACCTTTTAATCGCTTTTGAATGCCTTCCGGGATTTTTTCACGCAGATGTGTTACGGTGCACCATAACAGCAGTTGGATGAGCTTAGGTCCACCGGCTAGTCTTCTGGGGTACTTTCAGGAAATCCGTTTCCATTCAAAAACTAATTCTGAGGTTTAATTTAACTACTGATATTGATCAATTTCTTCCTCCCTGTAAGTACGATTTTCTATTTGACAAAAAGTGTCTAGCTTAACGTGCTCTAATTTTTCCGAACGAATTCAAATACAATCTATATGGAGTAATTTTTGACCATATTCGAATTCCCGACTATCTCCGAGAGGTAAGTCAAAATAAGAGTAAATTATCGAGTATTTTTTTATCGTACCCCTATGACCAACTATGCCGGACGCCCATCAAATCGTCTTCCGCAGCGCATCCGACAGTACAACTTAAACTGGTCCAGGAAGCTCAGCGTACCAAATATATCAACCGCTACCGTCGATACCCAAACGGGTTTGGGGGAACCAAGTTATCCACATCATCCTTGCTGGCCGGTTTTCGGTTGACCAGGAGACGCATGAAAGGACAAAGAGGACTGGCCTTCTTGAGGCCACGTAAATCTTCCGTTATGTATTCAAAACTAGTTGGATCAATCACCCCGTCTGGAATGGCCTAGGATCGATCGATCTGGGAATTCAAATTGAAACATGGCTTTCCACAGCGATTCGTCATTCCAATGCAGAAAGTGCCCTGCTTGGGAATTCCTCGGGCAATCATAAACCTTAGATGTCACTTTCTGTCTAAACTTTGACTGAATAGTTAATTGTAGTTAAATCATATCGTACGTTTTCCTTCCAAATAAGACATTTGCACCCATCGTCTCCAAACTATACTTTTTAATGGGAAATAAGCAATTTGATCAATTACTCAACTATGGCTTGGTGAGAAAATTACGGAAAAGATTTTGTCTCACCAAAATGAGCATCTGATTGTCATAAACCGTTGCTCAGTTAACTCAAGGACAAAGGGAGATTGCTGAAGGGTTCTTGTTGAAGGTATTGAAATTTCCCCATATCAGTTAAATTTTCATTCGTCTGCCGTCAGCTTTTATGTGAAAAAAATATATGGAGTTCTGCACCTCAAACAGTTTAGCACGAGTGTTTTAAGTGCAACTCCGTACCTCTTATCCGCTATTTCTACCGGTGATAGGCCGTTCAGTTCTTCTAAAAGCCCCCAAGAAAGTGTGAGTGAAGGCTAACAAAAACATCTGAAGAGGAAATAGCTACTACAATCGGTTTATCCCACGTCATCTATAAAACAGATCAGAACCAAAAGTGATAGCACCAGTCGAAATCAAAAAACTTCTTCTGGTGCTCCAGTTCATTGAAGAATAGCTGACTGAGATACCAGTTAGAAGGATCCACGTCCCACGCCGCTGAATGCCTTCTCTCAACTTCCGCTAATGCGCATCTATGAAATATGTACAAACTACCAGAACCAACCTCTTTAATGATCGTTTATCCATTCGGATGCGAATGCGCTGCTTCTTATGTAGACCGTACGGTCCGGTACTTGTCTTAATGTATTGGAGGACACTGAGGTGGCTGAAGGTACAGACCATATTCGGAGTTATAGATGACACGAAAGACTCCACCAATGAGGGTGCAGTAGTTCACACTGTGTGATCAGGTGTCACTCAGACGGTCTTCTTGGCTAGCGACCCATCAGAACTCAAATTTGCACACAAAATAAATTTATCCAATCTTTCCGACTGGACTAGATTGGTTTTCGCATCTCATCTGACGACGGTAAATATCAAGCAATATCACTCAAGTCGCCCGGATACTTAGCTGTGCCAGACGGTGTTCTTCTTGGTTAACTCTTCAGATTTTACTACTTTCATAATTGTCTACATAAGATTTATAGCGGTTGGAACGTAAATCATAGAAAGCACATGTTAGCATAGAGCGAGAAGGTAAATCATAGAAAGCACATGTTAGCATAGCCGTTCACTTTTCGGTTCTTTCAACCACAAGACGGTGTGTCATTCCACTGGCCTGTCTTACCAACAACTAAACGACTGGTCCACCAAACTGCACCGATGGCAACGCATCGGTTGCTGACACGACTGGGATCGCCCGTCATTTGCATATGCGGAAGCACGAAGCAAAACATTCCGACAAAACTTAATCCGAATAATTTCGGAAAATTTCCTGTGATTCAAATGTTGGTAGCCCTTTTGACGAATGGATTAGCCACGTACAACCAAACAGATGTGAAAAACTGACGCGAAGCGAAACCGTGCACTTTCCCGAAATCGGGCTACTCCTGTCCATTTACTTGGTGTTCTAAGCTTAATTGTAGTGAATCGGATGTTTAAAATCGATAAGTCCCTCATGCTTAGAAAAGTTCAGCAACCTCATAACGTTTCCCGGGGCTTTGTAGACAAATCAGAAGTTGTGCTGTATTAGTCTGAGGTCTGAACAAAATATCCACCTAAGTTTACACTCGTACCCCGTTCAGTATATTTTTCTGAAGTAGTACGGTTATGAAATTGGAAAAATAAGACGAAGACTTCCTTGTATATGAGGACACAGACGAAGCTTTCCCCGACAGCTGTGAAAAGTTCTCCGTCATCGGTTAAATTCAACGGTTCGACCGGCGTTATTCAACTTCCCACCAGAACTGACTTTTTGTGTCTTCCTCCTGTGCCTAACTTAACTGAGCTTTCGAAATTTCCACCCGTAATATTCGATTTACACGAAATTGAAGACCATCAGTGGAATTTGTCCACATTTTTCAGCCTATCAGATTGATTGATCGATCAATCTTGCCTCCTCCATTCACATGACTGCAATAAATTTCATCAACACGAATTATGATGCATTTTTCCAAAAGTTACCGGAAAAACTAAGGACACATCATTAACAGAAGCATGACCATGGTCCTTGGTTTATTCGCTGAGTTATGTGAGTTGGCTCAGAAAGCATTTTCTCAACAGTCGAGGTCCTTGTAAAATGGAACGTAGCGGTGCGTCAGTGATTGTACACTGTGAAGCATCGCAACGTTCCGCCCCACAAAAACTCACTGAGGACGTCACCTAGGTTGGTTTTCACCCAAATTTCAGCGAACGAGACAGCGATCGCCTATATCACTTAAACTACCAGCATTCTCCCCAAAAGCATAGCTGACCATCTCGTAGTTGGTTAAAATAGATGGCTTTTATAACTGTGTTTTGGATTGACTCATTTCACTGTTCCGGCATATAGAATCCCTACAACCATTCGGAACATGGGCAGGTATAGAAGCTCAGGATAGTCAACAAATCCATGTATTGTACGAACCTCAACTCTTAGTTTTGTGTCATGGTTCTAGGGGCATCAATTTTGCACGAAAAGTATATATACTATGAACGCAAAATATGGCTAAAAGAAATTAGACTGCGTAAACTAAACTGGGTAGTAGTCAATCCCTCGGACAAAATGCAATTTGGCACCATTCCAACGACATAGTTGGGCACACTTACCGGACTAGACCTTTCGTTGCTTGCAGATCATCGGTTTCTTTCGACTAAAGCGTGTACCATTTATTGTCCCGTGAAATAAGATGCTCGTTATTGTGTCTTCAACTTTCAATCACTTTGTTCAGGTTTAGCAGACGGTGTTTAAGGTGAACGCTTCTATGTTCTATCATCTTTAATTAGCCCAGCTAAGGTCAGGCTGCTGGTGTACCCTCAAGCTTCAATTAGTACCAGTATCAGAATCACTCGTTACCTTCCCCAGCAAATTTTAATCCCGCAGTTTCGTACCATACATTCAATAGACTCTTCAATGTACTACGATCTATCCAGTTTACTCTCTGATCTAACATCGTGGCACTCTGTTTCACCTGGCATGACGTATGATGGTCACGTGATACTTTTTGATCACCTGTGTGAGTGCGAAATTTGTGGTTAATTGGGCTTGCTCACGTAAAGCAAGGTTGGAAGGATAATTTCGATTAGAAATTTTCCCTCTGATTGAATGGATGTCCACCTTACTTGCTGACAGATCAATATGTGGATTAAAACATCATCAGTTTGAAACTCGCATATGTTGTATCCACGGTATGCAATCTAAGAATGAAATTATGGTGGCTGTATAGATGGTACAATTGGTTTTCACTGTGCCTCATATTTGCATCATCCCCGTTAATATTAACGTTCCAATTGGTCATCTGTGCCTTGTGGATCCAAGGCTGAGAGTGGCAATTGTGTAACGAGAAGACTGACTTTGAGATCCGTTGATCGTTTAAACATATGGCCCAACAGACAAACGAAAAATCGACTCAAATATGGGCGGAATTCTCACTCAAGTAACAACCACTGTTGGCGAGTTTGCATCTTGCAGTTTCAGCTAATCTTGAGGTTCACCAGAACTGTTCCCGACATTCCGCAAGCGTTACGGAGAACCCAAACAACCAAATACCCAAATCAATAAATTATCCGATCTGTGCTCGCTTCTGTAGGAATTCAGTATTATTACTTCCCTTGGGATGGTCAGAGTGAGCTTTAACCAACAGCATCCACTTGCTCTGTTTTGACATCTCGTCCAGTTGGCTGCATTCACATCACGAAAGAAGCATAAGTGATGAATTTATATCCCATGAACAAGATTAAAGAATGGAGACCATGCACAATCTGGTGCAAATGAGATAATACCCGGGATCAGATCGCCAATTGTCAACGACCAGCCTAGATTACAGGAAGGCCGTTGGGTACACAGATTCTCATCAGCGGACCACCTGTGCAATCAGTACACACCAGTCTTCACAGGTTATCCGAAGCTTTCTTCCAATAAGATTGACAACCCTAAGCAAACCAGCTTCGATCTCAGATGTCCCAGATGTCTCAGAAATAGCGAAGACTATTCACTCATCTGCGGGATAAGAGCTTTCGAGACCATTATAAAATAACTTCCAAAATCAGCGCCACGTACTTTCTCCTCTTAATCAATTCTGACAAAAAACACTAACAGACGCTTCAAGGATAGTTTGCTTACTACCTAAGAATGGCTTGAATTTTTCCCACCCATTAAGTTTTATAAACAAGCTAAACAGCGACCGTAAAATGCAGACATTGCTGTCCTACGCGTTCAGAAACCTTATTCTCCAAAAAGACATTTAGAAGCTTGATGAAAGCACATTTATAGCCATAAGCAAGTGTAGCCGATTTTGTTCATTCGCTGTTTGATACCAGCAGATTCGCTCATTGTTACCGCCTCTTTGTCACTTAGTTCCACCCAAACCTACATACCAATGGTAACCGTGTGCAAGTATGATATCCATAGTGATATTTGTCTCCCTATAGATGTCCTCAGCAGATACCTTCCACATGACAAGTGACATTACGTTTGCCGACCTAAGAAGTTAGGTTTCAATTTGTCATAGGGTCCCGACTTTCCAGCTTTTGTTTACCTTCTACCCTGACATAAATCCCATTCGATGCTCAGCAAGATGCTGTAGGCAAGCTGTTTGGCCGCCACGATGGAGCTTCTGTGCGCAACTTTGAAACCCTTCCGAGCGAAAACTTGTTGTTTACTTCGCTTTCAAACAAAGAATAGCGAAAGGTTTGAGCAACGTCGCAAAATAGAGCACAACGTTTCCAGTTCAGCCTTTCTGTCGATTTGATGCTTGAAGGAACAGCTCCAGAAGAAGAATTGACCAAAAGGTGCCAGCTTCCGTCGAGATGTTGAACTTGCTTGAGACTGCCACATTCTTTCATGAACCAGTCAAGTGAGAAGCGAATACACACAGCCTAACTTTGTTGACATCTCTCAAATTAGTGTATAATTAAATCTACACAAGTGAATTTATCAAACGTGTATGAATCACCTGTTCTTCAAAATGGATGGAACTAATAGTCTTTTGAGGCATGGAAACAAGTATCATCGTTAGCGATTTTGCTTCAGACAGTTGAATTTATACGGAAGTGCCAGTCAGCCTGGTAGTGCCTTGCCTAAATTCTGAAAGGCGCCGACGTTTGGGAAATAATTCTTCACATTTTCCTATGTTTCATTAGAATGCATTACAAGATGGTTTTGGTAAAACGGCACCGCTACTTTTGACTCGACCAGGAAAACTTCAATCACAAAGTTACTTTCTCCCTAACAAACGAACGAAATAAAGTTGACCAAGCGCTGTCTGCTCGTTTGAATCCACGTGATGCCAGCCTGCCTCTTTCCCCGTCCAATTGCATGCACATGGGTTTATCGATCCGTTGAAGATTTGGCTGGACCAATAAGGAGGCGAATAAATATGGGACTTCACAGCCCACCAGAGCTGTGAATTTAAGTGTGGATTTTGTGTTCAGGTACAGCATTATCGAAATTGCGATCACGCAAAAATGTCACATCGACGAGAATCTGGGGCTGTCCCTCCCTGGGTCATACCAGAGCCTGCCCCGAGAAAGACCTTGACAGCCTCCCCCCAAACACAACAAGGTGAATCGGGAACTCCGAGTGTAGCCGGTGATGTAAGGCCCAAAAGTAGAGTTTCCTTTGGAGAGCTGCAAGAAACACCATATAGTCATGCATGTGGGGATATAGGTGACATGCCTGATACCGGCAAAAAGGTGAGTCAGGATTGGCTTTTGAGTCATTTTTTATTTGACAAATTCAAGTCTTCAGAAGAGTGGATGCCCTAGGTCTTGTTACGTACCGGTTACGTCTATTCATTGAGCTTAAAGGTGGTGCCCTATGTCGCTGCAGAATCGACCCTAGGAGCTGCTATCAGAGGTGTTGAAACTGGTTGTATACACATACAACAGTGTATGTATACAACAGAGTGTATATGCATACACTGCAGTGTTTGATGGCACCGAACGCAATTGGCTATTCTACAGGAGAAGCTGCTGTGAACAAACATGCTGTTGAGGGTTATTAATGCAATTTGAATTCCGATCACTCACATGGACACAGCTCTGGGGGAATAACTTCACAGGTAAAAACTCCCATGGCGTTACTTCGACAGCCTTAGCGTTTTTTCCTACTAAATCCTGGTTCGTTGCTTCCAAAAGTGTGGTCACCAACATATTGGCGTCCACACATTCGAACTTGTATTCCTTGAAAATGTCTCAAGGTTTCTACAGTCTTTCTATCCGTTTATGATTTGAACCATCATGTAATTCACCTTTTTCATTCCAACAATCACTCAGGTCGTCTGCCACCGCACTTCATCGAGTACCATAGATAAGTGTGACCCCAGTCACTTTTATGGGACTCATCCACTAATGCCGTGAAATGACTGTAGGTGGCTGCTGTTACTCATTAGTAGCAATGGGAATTATGTCAAATTAAAAAGATAGATGTAAGAAAACTGTAGACCAAGCGAAAGTTTTGCCGAGGCTCGGCTGTAGTCCTGCTAGGTTACATTATCACGCTTGATTAGGAAAAAATGTCCACGGGTGCCAGGTGCTAGGCCATTCACCGTCGCTTGCCACTAACACCCAGGTGAAAGAATTGACCGAATGGTACACCAGCATGTCATTGATTTGCCAAACTCTTTCAAAGTTGAGCACCATCTGGGAGTATTTCAGTCATGTGGTCCCTAGCAGGTCAGCGGGCAACACTGACCAATATAACTGGAGCCCTACTTTTCAAAAAAGAGCTCTAGTTGTACGCGATGATGCCCTAAGAGTTCACTGGCAGTAACATAGTTAACTTCACTCGCATCCTTGTCTGGTGTATCATGATTAAAAATCTGGACAGACTCGACGAACCTGTGAATAGAAACACAATCACCAAAAATGGTCAGAATAAACGATAAAGCCACAGTCAACCTTAGACTGAATTAGTTTACTGAATGTCCAAGAGACAAACCATCTACAGTAAAGCCAAAGCAAGAAGGTTAGTGATTACACTATTAATGCCACGGTTTCCTATACGCGTAGCTGTCTATTTCACCTCCCTGATTAATTGAGTGAACGGAAATCTGGCAGCTATAACCCTTGAACGGCAAGAATGCGGTTTTTTTATAGCTGATGATGATGATCTCCCTACCCGTATAGTTTAGCGTCCGGGTGGTAACCTTTGGTATGGGAAGGCATAAATCGTATGACAGACACATAATCCTACACAAAATGGTTTCACGTGTTGGTTTGTATAGACATACGCTGTGGTACCTAGTTGCAGAATGGCAGGAATCTCAGATACGTTAAGCTTGTTTGAAGCTTCCGGACGTTCATATTCATGTAAAATGAAACCCCAAGAAATATCGTTAACAAGTGCAAAGAGTTTAAACTTCAGGATGATTACCCCTGTAAATCACGAGTGTATATTGCTGACGAGCTCCGGAGACAATAAACTAATTGTACGGACTTTTGTCTTTGTGTATCAAAATTCAGCGAATAGTGTCCTCAATCTCGTTTTACCTCACATAGTTGCTTACGCGCACACAAACAAGTTCTAATTATGGTGTTTGGCAGCAAAGTCCGATATGCCACATTTATCCGTAAGATTCTTTTGCCCTTCTTCAGAATTTTGGCGATTACTTGGCCCAACTAAGGATTTAACCCCAAGGTCTTTAGTGTCTACATCAGTTATTGGACAGGGCAATCGAAGGGAAATAGATATGTAGTATTGCTGCGTAGGCGGTTCCATCAACACAATTCTAAAAAGACACATCAGCACAAAAAACAATATCAGTGATTCCCTGCCACTTCAAAGTTCAGCAGATTCTAAAACTCCGATTCTACTGTTCTGTCTGCACAAACGATACTGGGATAAGCTGGCAATTAGGGTCAATAAAACCATCTGTATATGGTTGTCAGTCGGCGGCAACGTTCCCAAAACGGTGCAGGCTTTCATAAGCGGTAGACAAGAAAAACTAGAAAGGGAATGCTCAGTTGTGCGATTGAGACTTCCATCGAACAATGTGTCTAGCACCAGGAGTTGTGTTGGTTATACCATGTACTGCGTGTGTCGTGTCATTGTTTGCCCAGAAGTGTACTGTTCTTCGTGCCTAATTCAGAATGGCTCAAGCAGAGAAGCGGTAAGCCTTTGACCTAGCAGAGGGAAACAATACTGATCACGAAAAGTTTGAGTGTTGTCGGTGCAACTCCTCTTCCAAGATGTTGTCTGCGTGATCGGCCTGTGCGTGATTGGAAACCTTACAAGAGGCGTCCACTAATCGATGTCAGTGAAGTTGTTGTTGTCATATACTACTCTGTGCTTGAGTGAGTACCTGGAGGCACACGCACCTCCGAATGACTGCAGTAGTCTAGCAATAAGCCTCTTTCCCGTTCATCTTTTCTTTCCTTTGAGGTGAAGCTTTATGAACGAATGATTATTGTAAGACGACAAAGCATTCATGCCTCAACACCGACGTCGTGACGCCGATGATGATAATGATGATGATGACATTTGCTACCATTTTCTAACTTCGAAAGCGACTGAACGAGAAGTATCCGAATTGCCCTACCACTTGTGATCTGATAGCGTCATCTGAACCGTACATCCCCGGATAAGAATGAGATGAACTGTTTTTTATACAGCTGCCCGGTAAATAGCAAACTGAGACACAGAAGAGTGTATTGCGGCAAAATAAATAGAAAAAAGTAGCCCTTACCTAAACCAAACTTAATAACAACAGTCGGAGTGCCAACGAGCAGAGAAATGATAAGGAGGAGAGACTTGACGCTGAAACTTTCGGTCAAGTAAACAAGCAGATAGTGAGTGAGAGCCACTTGACAAGGTGAACAAGCGACCCGTCAAAATATATAAAATTACCACATTTCAGGCCATCCCTGAGGTTGTCGATGTGCGTGCGATTTTCCCATAATTCATGTCTGTCTGTCATGGCATCGGCAAGTCTATTTTGCGTAAGATGGTAACGCGACTATGGGCGTGGAATTGCAGTGTTCCTAACAGTGGATATGTCATTCATATATGCCTTTCTGGAACTGTACGTTTAGTTGGCTCACATACAGATCCAGCATATACACTCGTCAGTGAGTCCAACAGTAAACCAAATGTGCATAAATAGCTTCTTGTTGTATGCGCAACATTTCAAACTGACTGCCAGATTTCAATGCTGTCCCTATCTGGACATTTGGAACCATCCATCAGAGCAACCGACTAGCTGAAAAATACTCCTCTGAGTTTTTACAAACTCTAACTACATGGATGAATGCTCGGCCCTAATAAACCCAACTTGTAAGCTTTTTATTCAAACTGTTTCGCAAGAAACGTGGCTACAAAGCAGTTTCGGTGTACGTACGCTATTTTGGATCTGACCTGCTCCCTCACGTCCCTCCTGCGCGATCACGGTCCTTCCGAAGGTCTCTTCCTCATGGTCTCCTCTCCTGTCCAGAGGATTACGGTGAGATTTTTCTGGCGCTCTTTTATTTTAGCTGCAGATAAAGAAAGCTCATCATACTAAAGCCTATCTCGAAAGACGTCGTAGAGTTGGGATCTTTACACCATTACCAGCAGACAATTATCGTCGATGAAACCACGTCTCCTCTCTGCCAAAAAATATGGAAAATGTTCCATCAACTTACTTCGAACAAACCCATATGTTTCTAGCCCCATATCTGAATGTAATTTGCAGAGCTCAACTAAATGCGTCTCACCAGCATACGAGCAGAAGCTAATTATCACTAATTTCCTGGCTGCATATGAAAAGAATGAATCAGAACCTCTTTTGTCAGGTCTCATACGAATAATTATACTGATGTTTTAATGCCCCTGAAGACCTGTGTGGATCAATTGGGCCTGGGTCACAAGGAAAATGAATTAGGTTCGAAACGATAGGTAGGGAAAACTCTTCACTTAAAGTGTGATTTGGAAACCCCTATTATTTTACCGGTGCAGTAAATTGCCAAGGCCCCTTAAAAGTTCAAAACGCTTGGTTATCTGTACTGATTTCAGCCACGAACATCGGATACGGGCAAAAAAGAAGTTCAGCTGTTTCACAAACCCAAAGCATACAGCTACTGTCCGAACCATCAGTCTGAGAATCTTCTTTCGGAGAAGGGACATCTGAAATGAGCATTCTGTCCCAAGTGCAGTAGACAGAACTGGAAAGAAATTCTTATCGGTGAAGCTGCTTGTCAGTAGTAAAACACCAGTTCCACGCTTCTAACATACAAACGGGTTTCAGTTTATCAGTTCAGGGCGTTGTGCTTACTGGGCATTAAATTGTCAGTTAATGGAAAGGGGCAGCACCTTGTCCAATAATGTACCGAAGAGCATTCGAGAGCTGTTAGAATGATGATGAAGTAAAGCGTTTATATTTTCGCATCTAAAAAGAGCGATCACACGGTTGTTGTCAGCGACGTTTTATTTGTTCCTGCTACAGATCGTTGACTCCAAAAATCTACCGTTTCCCAAACACCCACTGTAACTGAATGAGTACGTTCAAAATCTCCTCTGTTACAGAACCTGAACTGCCGTTGCCCGCTGCCCCTTTCCTACCGACTTTGTCATCCCCTGTCTCCGGTCACTTGACAGGATGAATATCGAGTCTACACAATCTGCGTATATATGATTTCTGTCCAAGAAAACATTTATGCCGATTGCCAGGTTGCAGCTTGTGTCACGTGATTGACAAATGCGGGATGCTCGAAGCTCC